TCTCAAATAAAATTGTTATTAGTTTCCATTGTTGGCTCGTTGAAATGGAACGACAATGTGTAATTTCCTCAAAGACTAATGCGTATCGTGAATAATTCCAGCGGGACGTAAATAATAAATAAAACGACCCCGAAAATCACCCCATGTACTGGGCGTTTATCTGTTTTGATTACCGCTGGATTCACGGAAAATCCGTAACGAGCGGGCGATTTCATCGGGACAACCCAATTTAGCCGCTTGCCGTAAAAACACAAAAAAAAACAAAAAATCGTAATTAGAATCGCTTTCGAGCGTAACATATCTTACGCCCTTAAAACATGAATATCGCGCGATTTATGCAAGCATACAATTTATTTCCCCAATTATACATTCGATATTATACAGATTGTTCTTTGGCTTCTGTTGTGTCCAAAATCTTCGTCTTGTTTGGTATTATAGTACAAACATTTTAAGTTGTTTCGAAGAGGTGTGATACATTTGCATTGTAGATGCAATTACCAAAAACATTTAGGACTCCTGTTTGTTGGGCCTTTGAGAGTCGTGTGTCCCTGCATATAGAATACCTCCGCACTTGATTACCTTTACGCCCTGTATGGGCGAATGTTGAATAATTCCCTTATATTTAATCAGCACTCTAACCCGACTGAATATAGAAGACGTTCGTTAATTTAATATCGGGAATCTTGAAATATTGTGTCTACTGGAAACGTCTAATTTATAGCAGTCGTGTGTCGCGAAGTTTCCATTGTTAATTTTCCGCCGGCCAACTTCAAACTTTAAATTCACAATATATTGTTCGAGCGGCTGCAGTTTCTCGGTATAATTAGTCGAATAAAGAAAACTAATTAAAACGAATTCCCATGCACCGAACGGCGGCGTTTTTATTTAATTTAACTTCCCTTTAACGCAGCGACGAGAACTTGTCAATTATACGTACTTGCAACAATAAGAATGTTGATGCAAGCAACATTGAAGCGCGCTCTTTCCAAAGAAAGCCTTTGAAAAGAGAACGTACAGTTGCATCCCGTGATAGATACGAGACATAACAGTGCCCTAATGCCGTTCTTTAGTTACAGATCGCTGGTTTCTGTAATTTAATTAAGTCATTGTTTATTGTAGAGTCTACTTGGTGCTGCGAACGCGTTGTGTACAGTCGCGAGTTCAGTAATTAGAGTAATTGTTTTGAATTACAGTTAAAGTACACTTGTAAGCCCTAAATGTGAATTGTAAATGTCTCTACTACGCGGACTTTTGTTCGTCGTTTCTGAAATAACCGGCGAAAGATAAGTCATTAATTTCGAAATTAATCACTAAGTTTCCCATTATCCGGAAATAGATGTGCACTTGGTCGTCGACTAGTTGAATTAGATCGAAACGTTCGTCTTTAGGTATTAGGATAAATTTGTGCCTCGAATTGCTAAATTAAAATTGAGTTTGAAACTGTTTAATAATTTACCCGGAATATTAAACTTTGCTTATGCATCTGAATTTCGAGAAAAAATCATTTAGCTTTAAGTATATAAATCAACAAGAGAAGGATCGTTTGGGGAGGTCGGATATTTTCCTAAGAAAAGGGAAAATGAAGGGTGTTTGTATAATAATCAAAAGTGACTTCGTCAAATAGGGCGAAAACAAAGTAAATCTGCGAAAACAGAATTATTCCATGTGCAGTCAGTCGCTCAGAAAGGTTTCTGCTCGAATCAGATTTTTCTTGACGCGCGCTATTTTTTCAACAAACCTTTTTCCCGGTGCAAAAGATCAATAATAGCAAGCGGGATATACGAAAAAAATCATATAAGACACTTTCGCACTACCTTTCCTGCTACATCAATACCGGACCGAAATCCTTAATCCAGTTCCATCGAGAAGGTTGTCAAAACAGAATTATCCTGCGCACGGGGAAGACGCAGTAAGTCACTTACGATGACCGTACTTTTCGACTATACCGTCGGTGGAAAGAAAATAAAAAATTGCACCCTCGTTTCGAATCCGACATAAAAGAGACGAAAGCCCTTGTTAGCATAATGGACTTGCTCAGAGGTCGTGCGAATGAGAGATACCTTTCTCTTCCAAGAAAAACACAATTGTTAGCAGATGTCGTATGTTGTTCGAGTATAGGTACGGAAAATGCGCTTATTCAAAATAACACGTTTTCGAATGCTTCGAAATTCTCGCACAGGAATTTTTCGATGATGGGATGTGTGTTTAGTTTTATTCCGCGCGATCTAATTGTTACTCGATACGTCGGTAAGTATCCGGAAAGCATCTCGAGTTTCCAATTACGACTGCGAATTCATCCAACTTGTGCGGCTTTTGTCCTCGCAGGAATAATAGAAATATCAAAATGTTTATGGGAATACCGAAACAGTCGATCCAGCTGCGGACGCTTTTTTCGGTATAATCTAGTCTTTTTGGCGTTTTTGTCCTCGGATAGATTGGGTTTCACGCTGCTCTGAAGCTGCCTACAGCACAGAATCGGATCTAAAATTCCAAAGCTAAAACTTTAAAGAAAATATTGCATCTGGTAAGATAAGTACTGATGAGATAACTATATTTTTTTTGAGTTAATTACATGTTTTATTGCATTAAAATTTTCTGTATTAGTGTGAAATTGAATGAGGAAATATCCTGCGGCCGGTGCTGCTCTGGTCCTGCAGATTTTGTATTGGAAAAATGTGCCCGCAGTGTTAAGATATCAATCAGTGTATTTCATCAGATTTTCGAAACAATCCAGTTAGTTAAACGAAAAAAGTACCGTTCCCTCTTTCGAAAATTCGAAATATGTCAAAATAATGTACATTCGGAGTGCATTTTGGCTGCAATTCCGCAGTCAATTTTTCCGCGAATAAACCCCCAGCCGATGCGCGAGGTATTTTTTAATTCGATCGCGAAACTCGGTTGTTAAGATAATTTTTACGCCGCGATCGCCGTTAGTCCGATTCCGGATTCTGAATAATTAAACCAAACGAAAAGATTAAATCCATCGCAACTCGCGCCGTTGTAATCGAAACTTTTTTCAATTACCATAAAGTTTTTTTCCTTCTGGAAAATCAGGCAGAAAATGAAACCGATTTTTATCCGAAGCAACGGTTCGCTCATTTTTACAAGTTTTAATTCGGTTATCCCTGGATTTTTATTTGTATCTTCTATTAAATTACACTCGTAATTTCCCATAAAAAGTGCAGTCTCGAACGGGATAATATCTGCAAGCACACACGAGCTTGTTCAATTACCTATTATGCTAAACGCAGAGATAATAATTGTCGAAGTTGTAATTAATAAAGTTTGCTGCAGCATTTAGCACACCTACATACAATTCGATCGCTTATAACCGAACCGAGTTCAAGACAAATTCGGTCAAACTGTATTTATGCAAATTAATTGTATTCATTTCATACCGATCTCCATCAGAATCAAATAAAACTTCCTCTCGTCGCGTTAGGGGCACAAATATTTGTATAGAATCTACAGAAGGGATGTAAATTGGGCGCCAAAACGATTGGATTTTACTCCTTTACTCCTTTGGGTAAATTGGGCGCAGTCCCCTCTAAATAACCACAATCTCTTATACTTTTTCTACTCTACTAAATGCTACAATGGTCTCAAACAATCCCCCTTTCGCGCCCAATTTATCTATGCCATTAAAAATAACCTTTTAAGCTCTCAAGTAAGCCAATAAATATATTTCTGCGCCCAATTTACTTACACGAATCGAATTGAATCTGGAAGTTAGCGGCCGGAGCTCGAAGAGCGCTCGTGTAAAGTTCCTCCTAACGCGATTTCGTTTAAATATTTTCGGGGGGAGCGCGATCGCCCGGGACCATCCTTTCGCTCCTGCCCGCCCCGCTCTCATTAGCCCGAAACTTTTTAATCCAGTTTGAGTTTTTTCCGTGCTAATGAGAAAGAAGTGGCCGACCTTTTTTTTTCACTCGTCGCTTTTTTATGCATAGAGTTATGAAGATCGTTATAGCGAGCAGGGGCGGGCTGGGAAAGGGGTTGGTTGTGCGTGAGTTTCGCACGCGAAGCGATCTTAAGCCGGCTCGAATTTTAATATAGGAATATTGGATATTTGGAGTGATTCTCGAAAGGAAATGAAACTGCATTTCTGCATCATCGTGCCGAGTCGGCTGCTTTGATATCGTTGTTGCAGTCGTTTTAGAAGTAATTTCCTAATAAAAGAGTCCGCATTCCGTCTTAGACGTTCCATAGAAATTTTCATAACTGACAATTTTGATATCCTTCGAGTTACTCTTTAAAATGTAAAGGGGAAAAAAGGGAGAAAATGGAGCGTTCGTTTTATGGAGTTGGCTTTTGCGTTTCTGCTTATCTCTTGCTATTTTATTTTTAAGTTCGCGTTATTTCCCGTACACGTTTTCGACCGAATTTGTATTAATGCATGCGCGAATTTCCCGCCTCTATCCCACCCACTTCGAACTCGTCCATTATTTACGAAAAATCAGCCTAGAAACTCCCGATGAAAACTCCGTTTTTGGTTCGCTCTAATTTGTTTTAGTCACGGAAATAATTAAAATCCGAGCTTTACGATAATGGACACAACGAGAATTAAAGCTTGCCGTTGCAGGAGAAATAAGCCTGACCCTCTTCTCATGCAGGGATTTTTATTTTCGCGTAGGAAACGTTCTTTAAACGTTCCCCCGCAAAAAATAAAACAAAAATCGTTTAAATTAGTTATTTTGCGCTGCTGGAATTGAAGGAAATTGATTTCTTTGATCACCGCCGTTGATAATCCGTTTAGAGAGAATACGCTTTACGCCGTCAGGTGAAATTAGGTTAGAATTTTATTTCGACGAAAAGGAGGAAAATCCGGGATAATTTCGTTTTTATCGGCTATTTATTAAATTGGATTCCTCGCCGTTGAATTTATTTTTTCGCATTACTACTTTTTTAATTACGTTGAAGCTATTTAAAATATAGCGGCGTTGCCACGTTGCAGTTTTTTACAAGTTTTTAGGTAAATAAATATTTTTTTTGCGTTTCAGGTAACAGGGGGTTGGAAGCCCCGTACGCTGTTCTGGTATTCATCCACGGGGAGAGCTTCGAGTGGGGCGCGGGCCACCCTTACGACGGCAGCGTATTGGCCTCCTACGGTCACGTGATCGTCATCACGCTCAACTTCAGATTAGGCATATTGGGTAAGTCCAAAATAGAAAATCCCTCGGAATTCAATTAATTTCGTCTCCGTGCCGTCGATTAATTTAAAAACTTGTGCAATTATTAGTTTTTAATTTCCGAGCAAACGGTCGCGGGCGCAAATCTTCGCATTAATTATGCGCGGTTTGAAACCGCAAGTTACATTTTTAATGTTCCTGCTGTTAGAACAGTGTCATCTCATTAAAAGTACGCCGAAGAGGCGATTAAAAAAGTTCGGTATAAAAGGGAATAATGGACTTCGAAGGGCAGAGTCGGCGCGTTTTTACATCGATTAGATTGCTCAAATTTCGAGCGCGAATACTAAACACTTTAGGCTGATATTGGTTGTATGTTGCAGCAATAGTTTGTCAAGATAGCAGATAACGTTGCGATACTTTTTTGGAAGGTTTCCATTCAATCACTGTTCGATATTTTACTTTCGTTCCTCATTCACTATTTCCCATACATCAAGCGGAGCGCTGAATTTTCCCCGGCCGCAGAATCTTTATCAAAGCCGGGGTACAGTTCACTTTCAGTAGCGCCCTAATTAATTAACATCATTAAGCATCGAAGCTGTTTGAAAAGATCGCTTTCATTAATTCTTTTAAATGCATTCTTTTCTATTTATATACACGACAAAGTCAAGTATTTTCCTTGTAGGTAATTATAAAAAATGTTTTAATATCGTTTAATAATTAATTTTCCGTTTGCCTCCGTTGCTGTACACATTTGCAGGTTTCCCAATCCCGCGCTATTGATAAATGGATCAAAAACCATTAATATTAAAATTGGTATTTGACTTTGCTGGGTATTCGTATTGTATTTTTATGGGTTTTAATTGGGGGGGTCCCGCCTATGTAGCATCCGGTTTTTCCTCGTTATACGCCGTAATAAAAACAATAATACAACTCGCCACTCGGACATCGGGCTAGGGAATGATGCAGTTTTGCGGGAAAAAGCAAACATTTCATTTGTGGCCGCGTATTTTGATTTATTACCTGTCCGCCGCGTCACTTCGAACCATTATTTACGATCCCATAAACTGCGATTTCTGTCGAAGGGTTTTTTCTTTAAAAATTGAATTTTATGCCCTTGATTCTCGCTTAGGCTGATTTACTAACGCGTTCCATTTACTCCGATAAGTTTCGCAGATAAAAAATTTACTCCGTTTTCCTTTCGTTCGAACGTATATACAGCCGAATCACAAGGATTTTCCCATAGTGCCTAGTTAGGAAGGCAAAAATAATAACGTCTCCTGCAATATCTCACGAATGGTATTTGTAGAAATACCGGCTCTAATAATATACTGGCAAACAAAGGAGAGGAAGTGAACCAGTTAACATTAGAGAAACACTTAATCCTGCTTCTAAGCTCTATAAAAGACAGGAAATTACATTTACGTTAATTCTCAGCTCTAACTGGGAAAGCATTTGGATATGACAATTAATGATAGATGATAGAAGTCGGGGAGTCGGGACGAGTCATTAACACAACAGTTTAGCTTAAAGGGAAATTAGAAAACTATGATGAATTTTACTGGAACATACTACAAACAAGGATCTAATCATAGGTCTATTATTATATTATTACAAAATAACACTGCTGAGGTATATAGGAATATTTGTGCTTGTGCTAAGGAGTTGTCTCATCAATAAAGAAAGACTAATGTCTTGAAGGATCTGGATTTCTAAACATTAGCTTTCAGCCGTGTTTATAGAGGTTGACTCGTGAAAACCATTACTGAAACGAGAGGGGTTCGAGGTATTATATATTAACTTACTAGGTTTAATTCAATGGCGTTTCGATCCCGTGTATACAAGGTATCTAATAAAGCACACATTCTACATTGGTAAATTAAAACAAATCCGAGTTTTTACCATAAAAGAAACAATTTAATTTCGTACGGCGCGCCGTTTCTGAGCAATAAAACAACCAACCCAGCCATTATTCCACGTTAATAAACATTTAAACGTCTTCTTTCTGCGGAGGAAATCTCGACAGTAAGCCCGAGCTCATTCGAAATTGCACTTTAATGTCGTCGGCAGTAATCTAAACAACCACTATTCCACCAATCAAACGTAGTTTAGGGGCGCTACTGGCCTCCTTTGTGCCCTTTATGAAGTCGACAGAGCGGCCTTCCTCGGCGTTCGCCGCCCCGCAAATTATATTTCCTGCTCTGAATTATCTAAGACATGTTTGCAAGTTTCCATTGTCTCCGGCGAACGGGTAAATATTGAATAAATGTAGCGACTCCGGCGTCGGTAATGGTCCCTTTGAAGCCGCCCAGAAAGGTTTGAATGCCAGGCGATAATTAAGGATCAGCTGTCGATTGTTAAGCAAATTTGATTCGGTAGCTGAACGGAAATAAATTGCCAATACATGTCGCCGTGTGTACCAAACCTAACGAACGATCCTGCCTAATCAGGTGGAGAATATTGATAATAAAAATCGTTGCAGTAGTGCAGGGGAAAATTCGATTATTGCGAGTTTATAATCTGGAAAAATCCTCTGGAGAATTCGAATCGAATACACAGCCTGTGTACCTGTGCATTTAGCGGCGTACGTGTAAATCATGTTTTGCAAACACAGGTATATTCAGGTATACGTCAGTCAGAAATCAAACACTGCGGCGAGTTCAATGCAAACTTAATTTACAACGATTTGGAAGTTTGCATCGGGCGGAAAGTTAGCGCGCCGTGCTGAATTTAACTCTTCTATTTCCTTCGCATCGGGTTGATAATCCAATGCAAGCGCCGTTAGTCATCGAATTCTCGGCATTAACTTCAATCCGAAATTAAACGCGATAAATTTTGAATTGGACAGAAAGGACGGTCTGAGATATGGCCCTCTTGGGACGCTCCGGCGGGACGAATCGTTAATCTCACGTGAAAACAAAATTTTAAGGATGATGGGCGTCTGTTAACTGTACCATTTCTCACATTCGGGTTTTGACACTTAATTAATCCAGGTACACCTAATGCAAATTATCTCATACATGATTTACAACAACATCTGGCTACCTGGTAAGTCTGATTGTAGTAATTAATTGTGGATTTTTTATGGTGTATGAAATTATATCGATTATATGCAGAATGGTACAGAATTTCCGGCGAAAGGCCGCAATCGATGCGGTGTATCATATCCATTAGGTCGTTAAAAAATTAATGAAAGTTGAAAAATGTAAACGGATATATATCGTTTCGCTTTGATTAATGCCAAATGGGCCTTTCAACGAGTCAAAGGATATAAACGTATTAATTAAACGCACCTAATGCGAGCAACGCAGAATTATGATGTTTGATTGATTTCCGTTTTCCAAAGAGATTTTCGTTATGAAACGGCCGGTCGATATACGATAAAATTCGATATGAAATATCGCATTAACGAAATTTAATTAAATCATTCCCACGTATAAATTTGATGGCATCCATTAAATACATGCAAAATCGCAAAACCAAACAATCGTTCGATAATATATTTATATTTATTCGATTTATTTTAATTTACAAAAGATAGTTTTATATGCAATAAATTCGCATAAAAACACACAAAACTTCTGACCTTTCGTAAATATATTTTTTCTCGTTGCGAAAAGTTTTTCTCGCGGCGTCGCCTCGTCGAAGCATTATAAATTTCAATTTAAATTCACCTTATTTAGGCAAATCCGATGCGGGGCGGGCCCGCGCGCACTAAATTCAAATCCGACTCGAAAATACCTTGGATTTGAAAGTTTTTCTCGAAAGAGACGCGCGGAATCGGTCGCACGCGAAACACATTCGCCCGGCGATAAATAGCCGAGAAGTGTTCCGCTAATCCCGTTTTGATGAGAAAAAACCCAATCCAAAAATGTACCCTGTATAAATCTCAGCTGGTTTATAACGTGTCTTCGAGTACCTTTAAAGCTCTGGTTGATGCTAACTAATTGATCGATTCGCTGGTTACTTTGTTGGAACTATTAATGGATGTATTACGGAGGGTTTAATAGCGCGCAGAACCGTGCTAATATTGAAAAAACTTTTTCGACTGCAGGATAATTAATGCTGAATCAGTAGTCGGGACAAATTTTATTTTAATTTATGCCCGAAACGGGGGAATTGTCGCGCTTCTTATACCGAACCCGTTCCGTTTTAGCGTTTACCCCCGAAGGCGAGGATTAATTCTTTCCTTCCCTTCAGAAATCTCGTTATAAATCACAAAACCGCCATTTTCCCCCGAAACTAAACCTCTCCTTCTATTCGCTATGAATACTTTTTGCGGACATTATTTTTCAACGCTACACGGAATCGCTCTCGACTGTTTATTTTCTAGGCGAGTTTCTCCCGAACGGATTGCTCTCGCTAACTCGAACCTAATTTTCGCGTTATTTACTATCCGCAAGATGAAATTTAATCGACAATGCCGCAGAGTGCAAAAAATCATCGCTGAGATAATTGGGCGATTCCGAAATATTATACCTACCTATTATTTAATTCAATAAATCGATAAATTATTTGTTGAATTGTAAATAATATTAAACTAGCACACGTTAAATATTTATTTGTCATGTGAAATCACAGCCCGGTATCGGATATTTTCCCTTTGTGAATATTAATATTTATTACAACGGATAATGCACAATCAATAGGTATACAAAATATTGGGTGAGAATAAATAGTCTTTGTTAGTTAATTCATGCGGTCGTATTTTCGCTAAATTGGATACTTATATGCCCGGTTTATAATATGTATATGGAAATTATGCAAATTACTAACAAGCATTAATTTTTTTATGTTAAAACTCTCGCGTTTTGGCCTGGACTGGTGCTGGATTGTAAAGCTCTAGCACCTCGAGTTTACGCGTAAAAAATTGTTTATAGGCAAAATCGTCCGGGGGAAACTTTCACGGGTAATTGAACCGGATGACTCGCGTGTATACTTAGAGTCTCTTAAAAGGCTTTTTAAAGAGTAAAAATAAAGTTCCGCGCCCAAAAGTAATGCTTTCTGACGGCGCGGCGCGTCTGCCAGGAACTTTTCCCTTATCGAATTAGAAATTTCCGCAAATTAAAAGACGATTAGCTCGTCTAGATAAACAAACGACGAATATCCGATTCCCGGGAAGTAGATTGGATAACTAGATTCCGCGGAGTGTGTGCTTAAAATATTAATAGAGACAACACGGGCGCAGTTGGGTTCAACGAAAGTTTGCCGATGTGATTTATGCTCTTCTTAATTGGGTTACTGCGGAAGACGGTAGGGATAATGATGGATGTTCGCTAAGAGTGGAGGAATTAATCTGCGAATTCGACGCGACGTCAAGTTCGAAAAAAATTCAATTACAACTTTCATTTTTTTCACCTGCCCGTGTTCGTTCCGAAAAAATAGATCGATTTATTTTGAATTATATATCAGGATTTTTTTTGTAGGTTTTGCGACAAAAAATATATTAAGCTCGTTATATAACAACTAAGCTGCGTTCTATCGGAAAGATTTATTTTCCAATTTCGCGCTCTTACCTTACCCTCGACGATGGAACAAAGTTATGAAAAAGAGCGCAGCGATTTTTTTATTAAATTTAATTGGACTTTCAATTTCATTAATTTCGCTACGAGCAGGGAAGAGAAAACATTTTCGTCGTCGAACGCCGCTTTTTTCGGTATTAATTAATTTTTATGATTGTACTCTTCGGTCCCGGCCCGTTTGACTTCAACGCATTAAAAAATACAAATGGGCAAGAGGCGAGCATTTTAATTTTTCGAATAACACACCCTTTTTTATTTAATATCTATTCGTTTGCAATTTCGAACGCTTCTAAATTCAAATCGAACGCGCTAGAATTTCAATTCACTTAGAACATAGTTAAAAGAATCGAACGTTGTTTAAAACTATACGCTGTTTAAAAGGTCGTCGCGAAAATTAGATCGGCTAATCGAAAACCCGGTTTTCCGGCCCGCTTTTCCGCCCGATCGGAGTATTTTCATTCGAATCGGCGATTATGACCGTTCATTCGCACCCATTTTGTCTTCGGAATTTAATCCGGCTAAAAGTGTTCCAATTGGGGGCGCGGCTTTTTTAATTCGAAACTGCATTACAACTTTAACAAGAAGAAACTTAAAAAAGCCAATTTACTTTTCAGTTTCTTAGAGCTTACTTTTCGACAAGCACGGGTTTAGTTATTAGATTGCGCGAGCGAAATTCCGATTCGATAATTTCCATTGGAAGTAAAATTAGTTCGGTGGAATTCGCCGTGTATGAAGTCGCAGATTGCCGGAGTTCGGGAAAGTTGCGGCCGCACGACCGCCGTTAGTACTTAATTTCTGGAGGAAATCGGCCGTGCGGCGTGAACTTTTACGGTCGCAGAGAATCGCCGATAAAATTAATACTTCTTCCGGCGCGATTCGCGTAAATTCCGGAGAAAATATCGGCCCGACTTGGATAACGAACGGTGCGACGCGAGATATTGAGGAGAAACAGATTTTTCGCATAAATTTGCATGCGGAAACGCCTGCTCGCTGCGAACGGGAAAATAAAAAGCGTCAGAAGAGCCCCCCTCGTTCGTGTTTTATCGCGCTTTTATGTTCTTAAGGAATCTAATGGAAAAATCGCTAGATACAGCGAAATACCGCACGTGGCAACATTGTAGATCAATTGAACTTGGTGTTAACCTAATGCAGAGAAAACCTGCACCTATTTACTAAATCAAAGTCTGCCTACAGTAAATTCAAACTGGTTGGGTGCCCGAAAGTTCCAGAGTAATTTGTTTGCCGTCTTGAATTATCTTTTTTCTTTTCATTCTTTTTTTCGGTTTTTTTTTTTTGGAGATTTATAGTCGCTTGCTTGTTTTTACTACTGGGAACGCGCCGAGCCGATTGAATTTGGGGTGGATATGCCGCGAAATGAATAGGAGAACGGGAGCTTATCCGGACCCTGCGCGATTTTCCGGGTTGGGAGCGAAAGTGGATGAAGTCATGTCGGAATTCGTGTTGCGATATTTTGCGAATTGTTCAATATTAGAAGGAAGAGGCGACGGTAAAAATTAGAAAATGCGGGTTCCTCGAACGTTTTATAGCGGGCACAATAAGGTGTCCGGAAAATATCGGAGATTTTCCGGGCGAAATGGGCTCCGTTCGGGTCAATTTACTTTTCCCTTTCAAAAACGTGCGGCAATGCGCATCGGAATGAAAATAATTTTGTCTTCTCTTCTCGCCTCAAATGCGCCTCGTGAATGCACCGAGAAAAGAAATTCCTGGCATATGCAGACTTTTTTAAGAATGTACCTTATTTTTATTAAATATTATACTCAATTTAGTAAAATTTGGAGCCTTCCCGTTGTTTTATTTAACATTATTGTGACATTTTTTTAGCTAAACTACCAATTTTATTGAATAACAGTTTACACTGTTGTAAATTTTCCCACTATAGAGCGTATAAGTACATACTAAGTTAAACTCGGAGGTAAAAAGCGATGTATGTCTATGGGAATATCGAAATTTTACGGCTTACGATCCATATTTTCGCAAAATTAAAAATCCTTTCCGTTCGCAAACAAAAATTGCGAGCGTCGTAAAATGGGCTTTACAACTACCACTAAAATTTTATCACCCGATCGTAAAATAGACTTTAAAAATCTTCAATTTAAAAGCCGAGTATTAACCGGCGATTTTTTCGTGCTATACAAAATATCAATCCGCTTAGAGGCCCTTCGATTTTTTCGCGTTTTAAATTCGAATTTCGATGCTGCGAACGCAAAAAACCCAGAAAGTCAAACCCGACGTCGACTTAATAAAAGGAACGGGAAACGCGAAGACAAAAAATGCCGTCCCTTTGCAAATGTCTCTTATTTTTTTCATCCGAACGGTCGAAACTTTTGTCGCCTGAACTCCTCTTTGCTCCTGCCCGACAGAGCCGACTTCCGAAAATAAAAAAATAAACTTAAATTATGATAGAGCCAGCGTCCACAAAAAATTCGAAATTTATAGAACTATTTTTTTGTATTCAGTTAAAACCTTTAACAAAGGACCAGGATATGTAGGTATTATGTTTCGAGATAATTAAAAAAGAACCCTTCATAATTTTATACAAAAAACGATATTCTTGTAATTATTTAAAAAAAAGCAGCTTATCTTTTCATTAACTAGCGAATTTATATTAGATTTTTTTAGCTATAGCAGAAATTAAATGCGGACCGAGTCCTGCCCTGGAGACAATTTCAACTTCACTCACGCAATCAAATTACCCAAACTAAAATCCCCCTAATGAAAATTACCTAAGTGAAAATTCCCAGGGCACGGGAAAAGAAAGCAACTTCATTCTCGCTCTAATACTTGTTTATGATTTTTCCGAGTTCGTCTCTTGTTATTCTCGGTCTCTAGAGGTGTGACCTGCTCGCTTATTTTTCCTTAACCGTAACGCTTCTACTTATGCCTTTTCCAGGGGTCCAAAACCTTCATCCTCTAACCCCACGATTAATCTAATGAACCAATCCTACACAAAGCATCTTGCAACAAACTCGAGTTTTTAGAGTGTCTCGACAACTAATAGGCGATTTTAAAAGTTGTGTGACTATTGTCCATCTCTATTGCAGGTTTCCTGCGAACGCAATCGTCGAACGTCCTGAGCAACCCCGCGCCACCTTCGGCGGACAAAGGGTGGGACTCCTCCGGAGGCAACTTGGGGCTCAAGGACATCGCCGCCGCCCTGCATTGGATCAAAGCGAACATCGCAGCGTTCGGCGGCGATCCCGAGCGGGTGACGCTGCTCGGCCACGACACCGGAGCCGCTTTGGCGAATCTGCTCTTCCTATCGCCCACCGCCAAAGGTGAGAACCTTCGAAAAAAAAAATCTCCCAACAATAATACACCTGTAGGTGGAAAATCGACATGCGCGAACGAAACGACCCCCTATTTCGCAACCTATCGCTTATCGAGCCACCTACGCTTTCGAACTCGGCTCGGAATATAAGCGAAGTTTCGTCGTAAATTTTTTCACATCATCAACTTTTTAACGATTAGCTGCCGAGATCTCTCCGTTCGCAAAAGGGGTTTCGTTTCGAGTCGATCGTAAACTCGCTCTGGCTGCGAGAAAACCGATCTAAAAAGTTTCCACTGAAATATTTATGCCGTTCGGAGTGTATTATGCCGGCTTATTGGAGTGGAGATGTATACAGAAGGCGGGTGTGATCGCGGGGAGATTTATAATATGTTGCTCGCGGTGTGACTTAGAAACTAAGTAGATGCGCTGGAATACAATGGTATTTTTATAGAGCAAGAGCGGGGGTTCGTGAATGATTCAATCGCCGATTGATCAATGCATTTATGCAAGCTCGTCAAGGTGTTTATCTCGAGTTTTCCTGCAACACTCAGCCCTATGCGCTATCGATTATTCGCCCTCGTCATCTTCGAGTGGCGCCCGGATAGGCAAAAGTGCCGGAATATGCAGACCTTGCACTAGCACATTAATCTTAATTTTTGTTTCTGGAACTTTGCGGGAAAGTGGCGCACTCGAAACTCCATAAAAATTCAAAGGAAGGCGCCTCCGCGCTCGGTTTATCGCGTAATTGCGGCGAATAAAATATCGGTTATTTACTTCGATTTTTTCGATGGGTTTTCAGGACTTTTCCGGAGAGTGGTGCTGTTGAGCGGCACCGCCCTCAGCCCTTGGGCGACGGTCCGAAACGCGGACGGTTTACGGATCAGCGTGGGCCAACAGACCGGATGTTTGCCCATGGATATGCCCCCGCAGGAAGAGGACAACGTTGACATAGCCGCCTGTTTGCGATCTAGGTAAGTTAATTCATTACGAATTCACTAACTACACGCGCGAGTAAACACTCGCGGAAAAACCCAACGGGTTAATCACGGGATTAGAAAATTTCCTACCAATTTCCCATGCAGTTTCGGTATCGAAAGGATAACTTCAAACAAGGCGCGGGCATTTGGTATTTCGCGTACCCGCCGAATGGATTACATCGCATATTCATGATTCGAACGAAATATACGCGATATATGTAACCGATCAGCCGCATATACACATGCATCTTGAAATTAGGGCTATACATAAATTTCGCGTTTCATCAGGATGTACGCGGGACGTGCATTTGATATGTTTATAGCTACCCTTCTAGCCGCAATTACGTGATATTTTCTCAGTTGTTGGATGCGGCGATCCATCAAACATCAATACATATACGTGATTCGAGAAGACGGTGATTATCGACTTACCGTATATAACACGCCCGATTGATATGTTTGTGCGGATTTATTGGATTCGAATGTCGCAGGATTTGTGTGTGTGTGTATGTGTTATTTGCGCGTTACGCCCGAATCGTTCGTGCGATTTTCTCTTTATAAATAGATATTGAGCGAAGATTAAATTAAAAATAACTCTTTTAAATTTGCGGTATCTTCTATCATAAAGAACGAAATTTAACAGTCGAATAAGCGGTTCGGGTTTTTCCCCAGCATCATCCCCAAACAGTTCCATTATAAGTACGCAAACTAAAGGATTTGACCTTCTTCGCACACAAGCCAAAGCCCTATATTTACGTACGATAATCCTATTAAGCTAAGTTTCATGCCATGCTATTGTTTCATTCTCTTGCTATTAGTTAAGGAATTATCCTATGTTAAGTCGGATGTTCCAAGGGGCCTTTTGTTTGCCTAATACCTGAATTCGCACAGAGACGTATATACGTTGTGACACGAATTTATATTACAAAAAACAGCCGTTATTAACTCGTGTGTTACTACCGAAGATCGAGGGTAGTATTAAATAACTCGTTTGCAGGCCCCTGCAAGTCCTGCTGGACGTCGAACTGGAGAAAGTCCGCTTCATGCCGCGCATCGCCCCGTCGCTGCCCGTCGACTCTCTCTCGGTGGATCCCGCCTACGCCATGGAGCACGCCAGCGAGAACTTCATCACCTGCGAGGTGATGCTCGGCACGACCACCACCGAGAGCTACGGCGACTTCAGCGCCAACGACATCCAGTACGGCTTCGAGGAGGACCAAAGGAACCGCGTGCTGCGCACCTACATCCGCAACGCGTACGTCTACCACTTGAACGAGATATTCTCGGCGGTGAAGAACGAGTACACCGATTGGGACAAGCCCATCCAGCACCCGATCAACATCCGCGACTCCACCATGGAGGCGCTCAGCGACGGCCACACCGTCTCGCCGCTGGTGCGCGTCGCTTATCTCCACGCCCGTCGCGGCGCCAAGACGTTCTTCTTTCACTTCGGCTACCAGACGAAAGACAGCGATTACCCGCAAGTGAGTATACGCGAAACTATCCCGCCGACCGCGCCAATTGAGTAATAATCGATTGCAAACTATCCCGCTGACCGTGCCATATTATTGAGTGATAATCGATTGCATTCGCAGCGGTTGGGCAGCATCCGGGGGGAGGATATCACGTACGTGTTGGGGCTGCCGCTGGTGGGCGGCCAGCCGCACTTTCCGCAGAACTTCAGCCGGCAGGATTTGGGCGTCGCCGAGGCGATGCTGGGCTTTGTCGGGAATTTCGCGAAGAGCGGCGATCCGAACGCGCCTACGCAGAGCAACAAGGAGCCGGATTACGGGGGCAATCGCGAGAAGACCCGCTACAAGGGGCTGGTCTGGGAATCGTACGAGATCGGCACACAATATTATCTCAGCTTCAGTAAGTACCTATTATTTACTCGGTAGTAGTTTCTGAATATAAACAAACTCGGTAATGGTTTTATTAATTTGCAGCGAGAGAGCAGGTTGCGTTATTTAGTTCGTTTCCTTCTGTTTTTTTTTGCGCCTTCTTGTCTCGACGTTTCGCCTGGTCGGGAAGTGCTCGAATGCAAAAATAATTATATTCCGAGTTCGACGAACTAATGTTATCGGGAATTTAATTTACCAAAACGAAGTTACGGCCTCGAAGACGCTCCGAATAAAGAAAAACGGCTATCCTTTAAACGCTCTCGGCGGGCGAAATCGTTTATTTCTTATTTCGAAATCGATTAAGGTTTTTTAAACGATCATATTAAACATCGCCGCTGTAAGTAGATAAAACGCTCAATCGAGCGCGCAAAAATTATTTGTACACGAATTTTTAATTAAGCGGGAATAAAAATATCCCGTTTCCTGCGTGTAAAGGAAGATTCCGGAAAGTTGTGTTACAAGCCCTAGGAGGAGCCGCGTAAATCTAAGAAACAAGCTCGCTTCCGAATTTATACGGGAGTAAAATGCATCGGAGTGATCCACTTCCACAAAAGTCTAAACCGTGTAACTGGGAGCCGGTCCCTAAAAAGGGGAAACGCGCGACTATCTCGTCTCCACGCCGCGCTGGAAAGGCAGAAATGGAGATTCGGATAATTTATTTTATGGTACGAACTGAACGGGGCTGGATGCACGAAAGTTCGGACGGATTTACACGGTGAACGTCGCTATATTCAACATTTTCCTCGAATGATTTTAATTTCTAATTTTCCACACATACCAAAGAAAACTTTTTTCCATACAACGATCCCTTTTATACCCCGCTAACTTTTGATACTACAATTTATTTCGGAACGCCGCGTATACTCACTTTTTTATAACGAATTTGCATATTTGCATGTCCAAATTATGGCATTTAATTTCGTCGGGCTCCGCGGAGATCGCCCTGTATCCGGACCGAGCGTATTTTCGTACACGATTACAGGCCAATGTGGACATTTCCGGAATAAAGTGCGGTTATTACGGAGACAAACTAAAATTTGATGGCGCTATTTCGGCCCGGAATGGAGTTATAACATGTGTCACCGGGATGGAAAAGGCGCCTTCGTAATTTTTCTATTTTGTACAGCGCTCCGGGCGCTCCGAATATTCGACTCCCCGAGCGCAAGGTGCTCGATAAAATAGTATAAATTTTATATCGATTTATTTTAATATAAATACGTATATTAATAACTGTAATTTTATTACTCCATAAGCAAACATAGAGAGAACATTTATAGATGCATTATACTGCTGATAATAGAGAATGTATTATACATTGCTATATTACACACAAACAATTTTGTTTAGTTAAACATGCATCCGCCATTATTCCGAGTGTATCCTTTGCAGGTGTTTGTTTGCATACTCCTCATTAAAACAATCGTTAATGTTGTAAGACCGAGCCCCTGAATTACAATTTAATCGCGGGCAGGGCCGGTCCCCGAGCGGTCAAGGGAAGTCCCACGTACCCGGAATATGCCCTTCGTGAAATTGTTTACTTTGCGGTAAATGCAATTTCCTATCCGCGTTGCATTTTATACGAAGATATGTGGCGGCGTTTTCTGGCATTGTGGCTGGCGTGATTTTAATATTAGAAGACTTTCCGGCGCGGAGCCGGATAGAGCGGTTTTCCCTCGCCGGTGTAATGTAACGAAAATATGTGCGGGAAGTTGACAGTTATAAAAACAAGGGTAATCCGATTAGGGTGAACAAGGAATCAATTTTTGCTTGTAAACATTACGCCGCAAATGCGAGAATTTTTATGGAATAAAAATTTATATTTTATAGTCCGTTCGCGAATGGATTATACTCGACATCGATTACTCGTCCGCTAATTTCGTTCTAAATAGTCCGCGTACGTTCGGTTCTTCTCTTAGACATAAATATTGTTGTTTGCCAAAGTGCACCATCAATTTTGAATGAGTTAGGTCGGGACAAGTCTCAACTTGCCATCTATTGAAAAGCCATAACTCTTTCGTTCAATCTTCCTCATGCGGAAATGCGCGACTGGGATTCTTTTTGTGCTCTTTTTTTTGTAGTCGAAAGGGGAATCCGAGCGGAAAACGATCCGAGTTAATTTGAAATTTGTTTTTAAGTTTTGTTGATTCGGTGTTCGGTTCGCGGATGCCGGTTTGACCTATCGATTTTTCGTTAATTCATCGACTATAAGATTTTAATGAAATTGCAAACGGCAAGTTTATATTTACAAAGTGTTCGTTCGTCGTGTCTGCGAGCCGAGGAATAATTCCTCGAGTTACATAAACCCGAAGAGGGCTATAAATAAACTAAGGAAAGGAAATGTGTGGTTTATGCACACTTTAACTGCTCGGATCCTCTTAGTATCGATTTCGAGACAGCGGCTCTTTGTAAACAACGACCGACGGAAGCAAAAAGTTGAAATATCCGCTTCCCAGTTTTCCATCGCAGTTGTAGTTTTTCTAGTTGTAGTTAGAAGCCAACGAAAAACGGAATTAAAATTTTAATTTTAAATCAATTTCGCATTGGGACGTCCTGTATACCGTATAACATGCCTTTTCGTTTTACGCTGGACGAATAAACCAGCAGCTTTCCGGTTCAAAGCTGCAATTTCCACTAAAATTTTCTCATCGATTTCATCGCTGTTCAAATCGTAATGCCTTCATAGAGAACTCGCACATCAAGAGAAATTTTAAAAATCCCCTCGAAGTGACGTTTACTTTGTTGTTATCAAGAGAACAATGAAACAGTCCGGTATGGTTTAAAAGCTTATCAATACACGCGATAATCCCCAACGTTTCCAATAGTAGGTAAAATATCGCATGATTAAACAGAATATGTTCAGAACACAATAACTTCTTTTATTTCGCTAGTTAACGAATTTCTGGATGTAACAATTATCCTTCAACAATCATCCTTTACAAACCAGAAACTTCCTTAAATTATCGTTTTTCAATTAAGATTTTAAGTGAATAATGCATCGGCAAACAAGTTAGCTTAACAAAATGGGATGCTGGCACATTAATGCTTCTCATAGGAGATGGTTTCATTCCGAAATAGTTTACTAAATAACGTAACTAGTTTTGAAAATACCGCTCTGCAATCAAAACTTCCTAAGCTTGTAATGCAACGATATGCTACTAAAACACTATCAGAGGAAGTTATGGCGAAGAATAAACAGCATGAATTGTTCGATAACTTCCCATTAAATTTAACTTTTATTAAAATTAGATAAATTTACTTCGAGTTCATAATTATCATGTTAATAATGTTTTATTTTTTATTTTTTCGAAGTTGTCTGGCTCTTTTATGAATTTTGAATTTAATATAAAATCCGTTCTTCTCGCCTTTGTCGAAGCACAAACGGCGCTTTGGCGAAGAAGCCGGGACAAATTTAATAAAAACGAACAGTGTCAGTGCAGTTTCAATTAGAAATGTTTACTTATTCCGGACGCAACAGAAAATACGGATCCTCCGAAAAATAATTGTGCAACTTTTAATGGACAAATCGAGTCGTTCGAGTGGAATTTTATGAAAAAACTTTGCAATGCTGATTGCGGAAGTTGTTTTTTCGTTTGTTAGTGGAAACTTTCCTTCTGCATATTTTTATTTCTCCTCGTTAGCATGCAAATGAAATTGTATCTTTCGGTATACTTTTCGCGTTAAATTCAATGTAAATCAGTTTGTTTCCGCGTTATTAAATGAGATAGTGCGAAAATGTTCGGTTGTTTCTCTTATTCGATTTCTTTTTCTTTCAACTTATCTCGATTAAAGCGTTTCCTGGTGAGGGTGAATGAAGAAGAAATTATTGAATATACAAATCCGGCGGTGATTAAACATCGAAACCCGTCTCGTTAGTGTCGATAAATACCGCCGATTCTTGTCGAACAACCGAATCCGTGGAGCCCAAATAATCGGTATTCAAGACGCCGCCCGCGTTGCCACCTCGATGGAGCCCCGACCTCCGGAGTGATAAATGAACTACCGGCTTCTCTCCGGGGAGAATTTTTCTTTCCAGCTGCTACCGGTCCCCCCGCTGCCACGCCTCTGTTTTCATCCATTCCGCTTGATTAATGATATTTTCTCGAGATTTCCGGAGGTTTTTGTTTTCGCCCGTGAAGCCGATTAACTCGTTACGTCATTAAGTGAAACGGGGCTCTTTGAAGTGTCAACGAGACGGAGCGTCGCCGACGAAAGCGACCCCTGCCGGACGTCGCCTGAACTATGCTAATGACTGAAGTTATTCCTGAGATGTAATTTAAGAGTCGGCAGTTTGTCGCCTTCTTGGGAAACTCGCTTTCGGCTTTATTTCCTGTAGCAACACGAAATCTTGTTGTTTTTGTTCCTGCAGGTCGCAGGAACATATATTTTTAAATATCTTCCTTTTGTGTAGTTTTTTTAAGAATGTGATTGAAATGCAAAATAATAAAAACTCGCATTGTGGGATTTGCCCGGTTCGATAAAAATTTAATAATTTTCCGGGCGTCGGGAAAGTGCAGTTTCGATCCGTATTAGGACGAATGGACGGACGTCGGCTGCAACAGTGCCAATAAAAATTGATGTACTTCATTAGTGGAAATTTTCCATCTATGTCGAAACGGTCAATTTGCCGCGGACTTTGCCGCATTTCGCGTTAATTCGGAATAGATTTCGATTTGGGTCATTTATTTCGTTTATTGACCGATTCGGGATGAATCAATCGCGACAATTTGCGTACAGAAAGATTACAATTGCGAAAGGCCGTTTGTTTATTTTCGCTATAATTGTTTGATGGATTTTTTGACGGATATACAGCGATTATTCTTATCGCAAAACCCCCATCGCGGTTATTGTTATTAGTTATAGTTGAAGTATTTTCTGGATGAATTTAGGCCGTGATTAGAGGTCAGTAATGCCAACAACATAGCACGACCAGACATTTCCAATAATTTGGAATAATGGTCGGGACCTATGGGCGTTTAACATCTGTTTCGCATCCATCAATTTACCCGTAATTGCATCCACTGGCTATTGAAGTTGAAAAAAAAAGTAAACGTAGATTCCACTCGGCGTAGCTCGGCTCGCACGCGCCATTAATCCAAACTGACGCGCTCTTTTTCGGTAGATATGCTTGCCGTTTAATTGCTTTCGATGGCCGAACGCGGAACAAAGAATGCTAAACGGTTGGCAGGACGCCAGGGCTGCCTTTGGCCGGGTACTCTCCGGACTCAAACCGTTCGTTTGTTGCAGCTTCGAAGCCGAAAATGAAGAGCCATTACCGCGGTCACAAGATGGCAGTGTGGCTGAATCTTATCCCGCAACTCCATCAGCCCGGCGACGACGACGTCACGATGCGCCACCACCATTTCCACGAGAGGGAACCCCACTATTATGCAGGTTAGTGGAGCGAAACGCGAAAGTTTCGTTTGGAAAATTGTTGCAGGATACTTCCAGCATAGTTCGGTTTGATTTGCATGCGATACAAACCTACCAACCGGAATATTTGTAGCTTTTACTTACCGGATGAATCGTAGTAACAAACTTTTTTCTAATAGCTGAAACGAACCAAACGTTGGAGCAACTCGTGCAGGAAAATATATGAGGAAGACGGAACGGAGGAAAGCGCAATAATAAATTTAAAAATATTCCTGGTATAGAACAAAAAAATTGACAATGAAATTAATAAGAGCGGTTGCCGTCGTTCCCTCGAGACATTCGGTATCATATATAGGAAGTTAAACAGAAAATTATATGATATTCGGGTGAGTCATGTCGTCGAAAGGAGTTTTAGCATTTTAAATTTTTATGGAAAAGTTGGAGGAGTTCGGATAGTTTTATTCAATTTACGTGTCGCGAAGGCGCAACGAACGAAACTAGAGCGTTTTTAAAGTTGCGGAATATTGATTGGATTGAAAGTCTCTTTGCGGAAATGAACAGGAAAATCGGTTTTCCGAAATTATTTTCGAATACTCCCAACCGCACGGAGCCTGCTTTTGAAATATCCGAAACGCAAATCGAACAAAAGCGGCTAATATGCCTGAAAATAGCAGTTTCGCAAATACCTACATTCATACATTAAATTCAACTATTTTCAAAAAACTTCCACCATATGTATGTGGAAGTTTTCCAATAAATTTTAAGCTTGTCGGCGCAAAGTAATTACCAAACTTCCAGCATAGTTCCTTCTGGTTACAGAAAGTAAACAAATACTTTTAGCGATGTTCTTGTTAGACTTGGCTGATTTTCTCGTTTCCAGCAAATAGATAAACACGCCAGTTAGCTTTTGTAGCCTCATTAGAAAATTTTCAACTTCTCGACTTTGTAATTTTCTCCACCGTAAAATCTCTACCTATTTGTTTGCTTGTTTCGTCTTGATTTGCTGGAAATGCACTCGCGAAACTCTCGTTGGATATTTCACGCGACGAACACCGTCCGAAAAACCATTACTAGTAAAGGAAAAATTTATGAATTTCTTTTTATCTAGAACTCCTTTTTCCTTTCTAAAAATAACTATTACGCCATCGCTTTCTAAATCTCCTAAGTAACGTCCATTAAAATTATTAATTATGTCTGAAGCAGATCCTGCAATCTTACCGATTCGCATTTTTCTTCATTAATAAAGGAAGGCCAAGGGAAGAAAAATAGGGCACTCATATTTCCTCATATAACGCCGTCGAAAAAATACTCCGGTCATTCATATCCCGCTGCTTAATCTTGATTATATTCCGTCTACCTGAATTATTTTCGCGAATCGAACGCAGGGCCGTATTCCGGAAAACAGAATTATGTTCGAGAGTTTGAATTACGTAGAGATTCTTCTTGATCCGCTCATGTGGGGGAAGACGTATTTGATGCTTCTTTTTGTTTCTCGACAAAACCAACCAACCACTGCAAACATATTATTTACGTCAACCAAAATGGCAGAGATATTGCCGCATTAAAAATTCATCCGAGACTTTCCACTCTCGGATTACTTACTTCTTACATGTTCGAGTGGTTGTATTTGTATGGATGCGATCCAGAAATCGAAGCTCCATAGTTGTTCTAATACTTTTTTGGAGAAATAGATTTTTTTTGACTGGATGTTGCATTTAATTTGCACGCATCTATCTTTATTATGCCATACAATTTCATTTAAATGTATTTACGTCAATTTTTACTGCACATTCGGTTGCATACTGCATGCGGTTGGACTATTAATTATTCCTGTACCCCGGCAAAAAGCAACACGTTGGAAATATTTCCCAGGATTTTTTGCTGCACTCGTTTAGAACGGCAACAAAGTTGTCCCGACTGTATGAAATTTAAAACAGAATTAAAATACGCGACTCGCAAAAAATGCAAACAAATCGATACGCGGGAATTCTGTTTGTCGAATTTCTGAAAAACCGTCGAAACGATGAATAATCGCCCTTATTCGGGCGCTCTTGTTAGCTTTGGCCGATACTCCGCCGTAATAAACACATGTCCGATTAAAATGCATGACCACCCATATGGACGTTCACAGGAACTACACGTGTAAATATACAAGAACGACGCGCGAGCGACGCCGGCCGATTTTTTATTAAAGCGCGGTAATTAAATTTTACGTTCCGCAGCTTTATTGAATCGATGGGATTCGAACTAGCAGGCTTCTCAAGTGGTACGTCCACATGCGAGTTAATTTTTTCTCTATCGGACTCACTGAACGCGAACAGGGAACTTCCATGGGGAATTATTATTTTTTTTTAGTTCTTTCGTTTGTGTATTATTACATTTAAGCCTTCTTTTTGCATAAGGAGATGTGTATAGATGTACACAAAAATTGGTATAATAATTTATTGTTTAATAATCGTTTTAGGAGCGGTAAGGATGGAATCATTTACAAGACTCCCACCGCCTCTTCATCCAGCTTCAATGACAGATTCGCATTCGACCACAGGAGAGGGAACAGAGTGCATACCGAATACTACAGCAGATGAAGGTTTAACCCCAGATCCGAAAATTGGTAAGTTTTTTTTTGTGTTGGCAACACCGCAGATTTCCTCTACTCCTTCTGTTGGAGCGAGAGATCAATCCCTTTTCGCACTTGATTGATAATATTGAATACCCCACGACACATTTTTCCGAAGTTAGTTTCCTTCCACGTTGTGTTCGATTTCCGGAAAGTTTCCTCGCCGTTTCCACCGCCTCCGCCGCCGCCCCGCCGCCGCTCTCCCGGCTCGCTCTCCAGAACTAATATGTTCCCGCACTTGACAACTATTCGACTTGCTAAAGCCATCGATCATTTTCTTTTGGCCCGGCTCGAGGGCCTCTTCTGCGACAATGCGCGCCTATATCGGGCGATTTCGGATGATGAATATTTCGAAAATCCGTTCATTGCAGACGAAACCGACGAAGACAGCGAGGAGTTCCTGCAACGCTTGGCCACCCGGCATTACTACAGCTACACGGCCGCTTTGGGGGTGACTGTGGGAGTTGGGTGCCTCCTGCTGGTGCTCAATATGCTCATATTCGCTGGTATTTACTACCAAAGAGAACGCGATCGTCGGCGACATACTACATCAAGGTAAGTCCACTATAAACCCTTTAACTGGTTGATTCTTATTCGCTTCTTCCAGGTCACGCCAGAACCGGTCGAACTCCACGCCCTCCACCGAGACGATCCCCATGTCCCAGCGTCCTTCGACTCCGGGCAGTTCGGCGAGGCAATCTCCCGTTCCGGTGAAGAAGGAGAAGACGGGGGGCGAGTTCCCGCCCTCGTACACGATGGTGCCGAACAGCCTGAACTGTTCGACGCTGTCCAAGCGGGAGAAGCCGCCGCCGCCGGTGAGGACGTCGAGCGTGCCGGGCGGGGGGACGGTGAAGAAGCGGGTGCAAATCCAGGAGATATCCGTATAGCAAGAAGGGATGGGTGAATCGAGGCCCGGTCCGGCGAGGTCGAGGAGGCCCGACGTCACCCCCGAGTGCGAGGATTGCGATCTGGTGTCTGTACAGTTATAACAGGACGCCGATTTGTGTGTTATAGTTTTAGTGTGAATTTGCTGGGATTTTTGTACATATTTGTTTACACGCGTATGGGGTACCTACGTTTACGAATACATCGCCAATGTAATTAGTTAGGTGTTTTTTGATAAAAAAAATTATTGTAAAAATCAAAATTGTCGATGTGTTGTTTACCTATAAAACCTAGTATTCTTTTACTTAAATAAGATAAACTTTCATATTGTAAAATTAAAAACTTATGCAAAGTGTTGGTAAATTATTAAAAAATATGGATAATTAGAAAGGCAGTTTTCAAAATGATCTCTCCTCCAATTATTTTATACATTATAGACACTTTTAACACTGATAGTTTTGTTTTTTACAATGGATACGTGTATGTATATAAATCACATTAATTACTGTGTCAAATTGACAGTTATTGATGGTAGATTGCTTCAGGTAAATTGTACACATACAACTTCAATTAACATAACAGTATATGGAAACAATATTGATAAATTGTGTTTAGTGAAACTCAATTATTTTTTTTTACTTATATTGTTACTAAGCAAATCAACCTATCATCACATTTTTTAAACGAACTATTAAATAAATAAGGGTATACATAGTTGCAAATATTATGCAGTAAGTTTTTGAATTGAGATGTTGCACATTTTTTGTGTAAATGCAGAGTAAGTTAAAAATTCACATACTGTAGTCCTTTTTTTTAATAATTAATAGTACAACAAATGATGTTATTAGTAAAACAACACTGCCCACCAACAATTGTTTAAACTAATATCTGTGAAATTGATGACATTTTACTTTACCGAACAAACATTTATCACAGACTACTCGCGGACACCCTGTACATACTTACTGTAGGTAGTTTATTAAGGTAGATATTACATTTTTAATATCAGCGATTCCGTTTTCTTTAACTTACTCACAAAAATGTTTTGTTAGTATTCCTGTATAGTATATCTCGTTGTCTGTTTTAAACAAATTTAAATTGACTCTCTCCAAAAAAGTTTGTTGGAATAGAAAATGCGGATGATTTTAAAACTTTTCCATTTTATGATAAAATTTATTATTGTTGTTCGTTTGGTCCAAATTTTATCGACAAATCTGCAGTAAAAATTTCCGGGTTTTATTTTTTCGCATTTTATAGCGTCGATTTTTTTGGTAGAATTAATTACTTGAAACTAATAAAATTTGGAACAAACTTGTACAAGATTGTTTTCATTAAAATGACAAATATATATTTATTGTTTTATTACGTTATATGAAAAATAGCGCAATTAAATTCTATTTTATCTCTGTAAATAAACGATTTTGTATATAAATTAATACAATGATTATAAATATTAATAAATGTATTAATTTTTCCGATAATTTAAAACTTTATGTTTGTACTATCAGAAAATGTTGTGCATTTGAAATTATTTCACGTTCGTACTTCCCCAATATATTAAGCGCACAACCACATATAGTGTAATGAAAAATACATTAAAACGTTCTAAAAATCTCTCCTCCTAGAGATATGCCTTATCCATATCAGCAGTTCAGACTAGAAATTATTACTTTTATCCACGTAAAAGTCGTAAAAAGGCTATTCTAAAACTCCAAGCTATATTTTTTCTTATCCCGCCAGCTCAAATATTGCTCTTTACTATCCATAAAATATCGTGAAGATGTTCCGAAATTCCCCCAGATTACGATAAAAATAAGGTAAATTTAACGAACTGGAATCATCCTTACCTTAAACGTTTAATGATGATTGATACAATGTATATTTACACGTTATCATCACATTTTGTTTCATCGTTTAATCGCCTTGTATCTCAGTAATAAGAATAACATACCCTCCAGTGTCTTACCGAAAATAATAACATTTTGAGGCGAGCAGTATGTTTAAAATATTAATTAATAAGTACTCACTAATTCCTATTTCTATAATTTATTATAAACGATTCATTTAAAACCCGACAATTATCTAAATATACAAATTTCAAACGAATCACAGAACTCAGAACATAAAAGATGATAGAAATTTTCGAGCGCCATCTATGTGTTCTAGCTCGAACTAAACGCTTCTGTCAATTACATGTTCGACGTTCCATGCCACTTTGTGCATTTCCGCACGTTCCGTGCTACGTTTCGCGCACGGAACATTGTCAGTTGTCACACCCTGCTGTCAAGTCATCGGAACTACTCCGCTCGCCGGAGAGAGAGCGCTGCGGCGGTAGTTCCTCCGCCAACGACACACATGTAGCGTCGCTTCGGTCACCATAAACAAAAAATCGATAAACATGGTGGTTAAATGTGTTCGTGTGTGATAGGTTGTCAATTGTTATTTTTTAAAATACGGTACGTACTAATTTGATTTTCACGGCATTGTTTGCGGGCGTTGTTCTAACGGTGCGCCCGTTCAAATGTTACTTTCACGCCATTCCGATCTACGTTGTTCCGCCGTTTTGCCGTAATTTGTTGACATATTTGAATTGACTTGACATGTGGGCGTATTTTTAATGTCAAAAAACCTATCTGCAGCATATTGTTTGGTTTTTTAATGGGTTATAACTTAAAAGTTAATCGGAGGATTGGTTTGGGAATTTGTTGTTTTATTGTCGATACATCTGGGTGGTTTGAGATCGGTGTTATAACCTACAAAACCGAGTAATATTTATTTACATCGGGTTACATTTTAGCGGCTTTATTATTTATTTTTGTGATGTTAGCGTTAGTCACTTGATTGAGTGTAATGTGGTCTTGTGTGCATGAGTAATGATAAAGAATTTAATTGGTAACACCTAGAATGAATTTCTAATTCGAGTCTTGGAATGTCTACGTTACCTACCTGTCTGAGCGATTTTCTTTTGATGAAATGTCTTTGGGAGTGTCTAATTTACATGCTAACCAAGGTTTTTTTACTTATTTGTTATAATTCCAAATCAATTAGCTCGGCGCATATTCGTCGCCCCGTAGATAATAGTTTTTGAGGCGATCGGGAATATGAATCACATTCGTTAGTAAATTTATCTTTATAGGAAATATTGTACATCCGTTTCGAAAATTTAAATGGATTCGTCGTCGGAATGTTCATTATACGCCCAGCGGAGTAGATAAAATTTTGCTAGAATGTTATGAATGGACCTTCTTATCGCTTTTGAAAAGATTTATGGCAGTTGATTTGATTTTGGAATGCTATTTTCACCGTGCACTTTCTGATTATTCTACTACTTTCATTTAAAATCCTAACGCACACCATTTACTTCTAAAAGATTCTTTGCAAAAGCAAATTATTAGCACACTCGGTATAGGTATAACGGAAAGTAGGAGCAAATCAAATATGCCCCATAACGTGGGGTTGCTTCACTCCCACAAGGCGAATATTTCACTCCAAATTGCTACATGATAATGTACCACTCACAGTTCATTATCATTTGGTGTATTTGTTCCTGCTTTATGATAATGTAACGCAGGTACTTTATTAGCGTCTGAGGTAATTCGTCCCCGATGATTCAATTTAGAGCGAAATATCCCCCGCAGGAATAACGTAGCACCCGGAATTTTGTACTGAACGCATATTCCCATGATTTTGTGCACGTTAAACAACTTCAAAAACCCTCTAGCATTACTATTTTGATATAAAATCGCAATTCTACCAAAAAATAACCCGTAGCAGATAACAAGATCTGTTTTCTCCATTTCCGTTTTTTTTCTGGCGGTATTTTCTTGTCGTCGTCTGCGAGTGTCAGAAGTAGAAAATTTCTGAGACACCTATCGCATTTATCAAGATCTCGCACGCCGCGTAACTTACCTAGACATCAGACATCGCCGTCCTTTGCTTTTGCGGTTTTCTTTCTAACAACTCAGCAAATTCAGCCTTGGCTGGCTGGCACGAGCAGTGTTGTCGGGAATTTGCTCGATTTGGAGCTCTCGGGGATTTCCCCAATTGTTCAACTAACGCACCGGCGCGTCCATAACTTGCAGGATTTTTGTTGGAGACAAATTATACGAGCTGCAAAGGGCTCGAAACCGCTTGAACTTCGCAAATCTAAATTTACATGTCTTGCGTCATAAATCAGGTCGGGATCGGTGTATGTATGTACAACGCGCGTTTGCTAAAAATAGTCCTGTCAATTGAAATTCGCCCGTTTTTAATTCGGCAACGCAGCAACGTCTGTATGGCAGGAGCAAAGTGTATACCAAATCGGTTAGAACGCTCCGGCTGCGATACAGACGGCGGCGTCTGTGACGTCGCTGACGTCTATCACGTCGTTTACAATCACGCGCCTCGTCGCTAGGGCAGCGCGGAGGCGGCGGCGGGGGCGGTTTTCATCCGCAACATCGCCCTCGCAAGATGCTAAAATAGCCGAGCGACTCTCGAATTAGAAGACTCCTCTAGCTCTTTCGAAAACAATAAATCGTTATTTCGCTCGTAGAAGCGTCAACAGTATTATGCGCTTTGGTTGCAGGTAACGAGGTAAAATCAAAACAAGCGAAAAATCAACCCCTATGGTGAAAGTAAAAGACGAGCCTCCAATGGCGGAATCCAATTCTGCCCCTAGTCCTCATGCATCGTCAGCGACATCGAACAATCAGGCGCCGCCGGCGAATTTTTACCCCCGCAAGCCTCGCCCGCATCCTCACCACCATCACCATCCGCCGTTCCAGCACTATCCGCCCTGCTCGTACAGCTCCGAGAGCGCCGAGGGCGGCGCGAACGGGGCCGCGTCGCCGGCCAAGTTCTACTTCGGGCCGGGGTTCGAACCCCAGCAGCAGTTTCCGGGGCCCAGCCAGGGCCAGGGGAGCGAGTACGTTGTGTTCTTCCACGTGAATCCCGGCGTGACGATCAGCTTCCAGATGGGGGAGAGCCTGGAAATATTGAGAGGTGAGTTGGCAACGTTGCTCGGGTGTTATTTCAGCTTGTATTGTATTTATCTTCGCGCTATACGACACAGGCGACAAATTATTATTCACGTATATCTGGGCCCACATGGAGTCCAATTAATTAGTGTTTTGACACTCGCTGGTTTTTTTGGAGCCAGTGAGAAATGGATTCGTAGCCGTATTAGTGGTTTTTTTTATCACAAGTTTCGAATTTTTTATGCCGCGTTTCAGATTTTTCGGTATAGTTTCTGGTTGAAAAAAAAACGTTAATTGTGTACGCAGAAAAAGTTTTCCACCCATTTCAGTATTACGTGATTCGTTTACTAATTAATCATTATTAATTAGATTTTAATTATTAAATACCGACCGCCCCGCGTAAAAGTAATAGTCGAGCGAACGTAGAGAACGTATACAATGGCGTTAAAAATCACGACTTTCACTATTTACATTGCGTAACATTCAGCTTCCATGTTAGCGAAGGCAAAAACCATATTTCCTGTTTGGAAAAAAATCACAATTGCCGGCGAAAAATTTTCTCACACCAGACACAATCGGATACGTCGGAAACGCGTATGTATACTCTTCGTGTCGGTATAGGCGGAATCGCGTCAAAGGCGTGCATGTAAAGGACACAATTAGCCCTACATGACTTTGTGAATTTCCAGTAGAATAATCTGATAACTGATTTCTTTTATATTTGCTATTTAATTATTTTATTACATACAATATGAGGTTTACACACACATGAAGTGGAGCCTTAGGTGAACTTTTTCTACACTGTTGAAGAACTAATATTGGAATATTGGTACGCTAATGAGTATGATAGGTTTATTTCTGATTTTTTGATGATATGCTTGATTTGAAAACAAGGCAACGTTTTCCTCTTATTGTCTTAACTACAACTCTTTCTTCTGCTGTATTGAATAGGAAATATTAATGGACAGAATTTGCTTTTATCTAATCCTATTAATAATTTAAAATCGATGGAATTGAATATTCAAAAAAGGCGGCTTGTAAACATCCTCGTAGAAAGAAAAATTATATAAGAGTCGTTTCTCTTTCCGTGGTGGCGATGCCTTCGTAGAATAGGAGCATGACGTTCCAGTTTTTTTTTCTATTATTAATAACACTTAATGCAAAATAACTCTTTCAACATGTAACACATCGCTAAAGTTCATTCATCCGGAATATCGTCTTGTACACATACAAGGTGATTTCTAAACCTTCGAATGTTACTTTCGGAGCGAAATGAAGACTCTTAACTCCTCATTTTCTGTTGAATTTATGTCAGTTAAATTATAAGTTAGTTATTTTTAAATCCTTGGAAATGCCTGCCTACTTAATTCAAATTTAGTCTAGCACAATTTACCTGCATAATTCGATAATAAGGAATGTTTATCAGTGGGTACTTATGTAAATTTCCGATAGGTACAAAATTGGGTCTGACACGTTTTCTAGAAATTATTCCAAAATGAACTATTGAAACGTTACCCATAATCTGTAGATAAAAAATACATTAAAACGTATTGGAAATTTGTTTAAAAATAACAACATCCATTGGAATTTTTTCCACAGAAAACGCAAATTTAATAGTGCTAATAACTTTCATATATTTAATTGAAGCAATAACAAAATTCATTGGAAAGGTAAGAGAAAAGAAATTCAAAAATCTGAGAATATTTTGTCTTAAAATTAATTTTAAAATAAGACAACTTCATTCCTTTATTCAACAAATTGATAGCATTCGCTTGGCATTTAATATGCGAATTCTCGAAGATCACAATTAAACCCTGTCGGCCTTATTAAAATTCCTCGAATGTAAACTGAACGTCCGATAGGAAACCGTCCAAAAGAATGTATTTTCTAATTCGAAAAACATTCCGCTCCCGCTAATTTTTTAATCCAGCGTCCTTTGTGAACGAACGTTGATAAATAAAACGTCTTTAATAGTTCCAGTATGTAATGTGACGTCAATTATACGGCATACATGCAATAAGTGTGTTAAGTGCCTTTGCTATTAAAATACTTCGCCGCTTTATGTAAGATAAATTGATTTCGAGATGGTATTTGCGTACATCTCCAATCGTTAATATTCATCCTTTTTGTATTGTGTGCGGCCGATTGCACGCGTCGTGTTCGGCTAATTATTTCGCAAGATTCGCACAGTTGTTTTCTAATTTAATACAACTTACTTAAATGCCACTATAAAGGGGAAATGTAACTAACGAAGTTCGTAATCTCGGCGGTGCACCGGCGGAGAGCGATTAAAGAAATTTCGAACGACTTAAAATTCTTGAGAAGAAAACCATTTTCAACTTTTAATCTCATTGACGTGCTCTCTTGTTGTTCTCCTACCGAATAAAGCGGTCAGTTCGTGTATAATAGTCTCGGGACACCTTCAATTTATTCGAATTCGACATAACTTTGCAATAGAGAAGAGGAGCGCTTTGGCTCCCGGTCTAAATGCTTTAGAGTTTAGAGAGAAAGAGCGTTCAATTCGATAATTCTCTCGCAAGTCTGTTCGACTCGACGTCCATGCTTAAATAATCTTCTAAAACCGTTTATGTTTTCTGAATGACCGAGCTTTTGTTCGATCAATGTTCCTTGCTTGTTTATCCGTCAACCGAAATGCATTTGGCATCAGTGGCGTATCTTACCTTTATAATTTTTTTCCAATCAGTATTTGGCGTGTAATGCCCTCTCCATTGATTAATATATTCCTGCTTATGTGGGATCCAAAAATCGGTTTCGAATGCCACTGTCTCTGCCACGTCGCTTTTCGTTCGAATCTTGACGAACGATTTCTGAATTTATTCGAAAATTGCATGCGTCCAAAGCAGTAATGCGGCGCTCTACAGTAGGTCGTACCGCGGATCGCATTGTACAAAGTGGTCCACCGACAGAGAAATCCGAAGTACGTTCGGAATTTCCTGCAAAAATGCATTCACGGTCGTTCAACGTACCTGTATAGATAAATCAGGACTGGGCTTTGCGATTGACAATGCACAACCTACTACTTAGAAACCGCCTAAAATCTAACCAGATAAGATAACTAGTAAAAATATTCCGGTTGTAGAAGGTATACGTGATGGGATATTAAATTTTAGTTAACCCACATGCCGGCTAAAATATGACGCTAAAGGAACGAATGATCGATTTTATCTTACGAACGAGAGCTGATACATAAAAGAAAGTAAATTTACGACCGAATTTCGTGGCGATTATAACGATTGGTGCAATAATTAGTGTTATAAAAATGATCGTGGAGAGCCGATGCGGGCCTGAGTGAAGCCGAAGCCCGAGAATATTGGTAGGTTGTTTACAAGGTGGTACTTGTGAGGCTTGGATAGAACGGGTACGGCTAACGGTACTACCGATCACAATTATTGACACTGACTGGAAAGTATGTCGAATGCGACATTCTTTTGCGAAAAACTGTCGTGGAAGAAATTAATCAGCGTCGTCTAGATGTGTTTTATTTAGAAATTCACCCCTGTTTTCGTATTAATTTAATCGGTGACTGTCAGAAATTGTAGATGAAAGCGTTTCGAGATAGTGACATCATGTGTCCTTCGAATCAGCCGCTTGTAAATGTAAATTAATGTTTTCAACAGATATATCAAAACGTTCTTTCTAATAATGCAATGGCGTAATCTCCTCAGTTGATTTTTTTGCCAGTTCAATAGGGAGATTGCGAAATTTCGAACACACTTTGAATCGCCGGACCAACGGAAATAATGATAAGAGCATTCGAATTTTTGACCAATAATTTTTGATGGATCTTGTAATTATTTTGCTTCAGGTAGGTAATATTTGAATAATGTATACCTAAGATATTTTGCTAACGGAACTCCTACAGAAGAGTAGGTAGTTTGTGCCTAATATATTTTTCCAGTTATTTGTATAAACCATTTTTGTATGCTAAACGCTGAATTCGTATATGCATAAAATTAAAATAATACTTTTCTTTTGCCTGAAACGTGTCTAAAATATTAATTCAAATCTCCTGTTAGTCACTCGTTCATAGAACCGGCAGATTTCATAAAAATTGATTGTCAAATTAAAAAGTTCACTGTGAAATCACAAATGAACTTCTCCATTTTGCATTTCCTCCAGATTGAATCGGTTTTTGTATTTTAAAATAATTTAATGTTGATGGTATTAGCATTTTAAACAGGTGTTTCGCATAGTTTGATCTCTCGCTGTTTTTATCAAAAGAAACCAACAAAAAATCAGTAAACTAGTTAAGTATGAAATGTAATATGTAATTTACATAAAGTGCACCACGATCAGTCTAGCGTAATTTATTAAAAGGTCACTGATTGCAATTTTGCCATCAGTGGCGTTACAATTTCCATAATTTTCTTCAACAAAATTATAAGACGCTCTTACGTCTTATTGATGAATACTCTAATTTATTTCTTTATTTAGTTTGTGCAGGCAAAGCGAGAAATCGATTCGAAACATTGCTTTGATCTTTCTACTGTAAAGCTTCAAAAAAATATTACGTCTGTTTGAAGCTCCTCGAATGATGTGAAGTAAATCCAAGATTATGTTTACAACGCGTATCTCGATAAAGTTTATGCACAGGTTTCATCTGATATAATTATCTACTAATTTACATTTAGATCTAAACAGTTTATTTCTCGATTATAAATATATATTTTTTCCTTTTAAGTAGTGAATTTTGTACGTCGCTGGCGCGAGCCCGAGGACCTCTGGTTGGTTAGCGGGCCGTTGCCGAGTGAATATCGTGAAAAATTGAAGTAAGAGTTATGAGAGTAAAGACAATTGCACGTTTCAATTCAGATGTTTTGTTTGCGATATCGAAAAGAATGCAGCAGATAATGATAGGTTTTCAAGTGTTTCTTTTCTGTTCTGCAACGTAATGGCGACGACTGGGGGATTGGTCCCTGGCAAAAGAATGGTGAAATTGACCTGTTATCGCCTCGCGATTATTATTTAACAAATCGAATGACTGATTCAGAAAATGGGATCATT